CCCAGCGTCCACCGCCACCGCTTCCTTTCTCGAAAGACGGGGGACCCGACCCCTCGTAAGCATGGCATTCAGCCTCCTCGCTGGAATTATCCTGGGCGGCCGCGGATGGTCTGGGCAGCATCCGCGTCCTGGGTCCCTCCCTCGGTGTCACTGGGAGGTGCAGCAGGCTTCCTCTGGCTTCCTCTGCCTTCCTGCTGCGTAGCAGCCGCACCGAGCCTGCGTCCAGGCCGCCAGTGAGGCCGTGGCACACGCCAGGCCGCCACGGCTCCTGCCGGTTCTGTGAGCATCTGCCTGGCGCCAGACAGGGGCGCGGGGCAGCGTTTAAAGAGGACGATTTAAAATGCTCCGGAGTCAAAGCAGTGACGCCGCGTCACGACAGCCGCCCTCGTGAGGCTGGCTCTGGAGCGGTCCCTGAGTCATCCGGGGTCGTGCAGTGAGTTACGTGGAAGGCAGCGAACCTGCGTCAGCAGAAGACCGGGTCGTTCTCTTAGTGCTGTTAGGGAAAAGCGAGGCTCAGAGTTTCCCGGCTTCGCCCCAGCGGGCGCTCATCCTGTGACTCAGTGGTCAGTACCCCAGTTTGCCGAGGAGAGGAGATGCAGAGAGGCCGACGAGCTCGCTCAGTGTCACACGCCTGGCTCTGCGGTCCACGCCCTCGTACTTATGGATGGGGCGTTGGTCGATGACGCTGTGAGTCTCGGGCACAGCGCTGTAATCTGGTGTCTGTGTCCTTCACCGTGTGCTCCCCTCGCGCTGCCACACGTGGACCCCTGGACCCCTGGACCCCGTGCGCCCTCAGCTGAGACCGCTCCTGGGTGGTCAGTTTCCTGCACCCTCCAGTGCACTTGGCACGCCCGCCCCCAAGTGCAAACGCAGTCCTCCGAACTCGGCGTGCCGACGGGCCAGGCGGGTGACGAGGTGGCGGCGGCGAGGCTCGCCGTCAGCACGCGTTCGGTGCCCACGCCGTATCGGGCTCGGGGCTCCACACCCCCGTCATCACCCCCCCAGTGCTCACCACAGCTCTGCGAGGCGCTGGCGCCCCACCGCCAGACACGGACACAGCCTCGGGCTCCATGCCACCAGGGCATGGCCACGGAGGAGGAGGAGCCTGGACCACGCACCGCCCTGTGGAGTCCAGCCTTCTGCCCTCCCTCTCCCCCGCACGGCGCGTCCCCTGAGGCCTCGGGCCGTGGCGCTGGAAGCCTGGGTCCTGCAGCTCGCCTTGGCCGTGCCGGGACGGTGTGCCCACTGCACTGCCTCTGCCGGAAGTCGGTCTCAGGCAGGACAGGGGCGGCAGACTCGTCCCTGCGGACGGAGCCCTGTGGGCAGGAAACGAGTCGAGAGCCATCCGTCAGTCCCTCCTCCCACGGTTTCCCTCCCTCGACCTGCACCCCGTCCCCACCTGCCTGACCCACAGGTGGCGGCATTGAACTTCAGTCCTGGGCGCGTAGGCGTGACTGCCTGATGACATCTGGTGGTGGACGTTGAGCCAAGCCACTCCAGACCACCCCCTTGAGTGTTTCAGGGGACTGGAACAGGCAAGAGGCCGGCGCTGGTGCTGCTCTCAGTGGCCGCCAACTGGCCACCAGCCTGTACGTTGCTCTAAGGTGCTTAATTCAAGGGCAGTCTGCAAAGCCGGGGCCGTTTCCAGAAAGAGTGGTCACTTGGCCCTTATCCGCCCACCCGTCCCGCCGTTCACACTGCCCGTGTGGTGCCCGCTGCTGGTCCCCAAGGCGGCTTTTCCAGGCTGGAGGTCGGGAGTGGCAGCGTCAGACTGGGGAGGGGACGTGGCTCCGTCCTTCAGTGGAAGGCCATCGGGTCTCCTGGGACGTGCCCACACTCACCCCAACTCAGTGTCCTGAGCCCCCGCCGGGTCGTCTCCGCGTGGGTTTCTCAGGTGGAAAGAAGCCACCTTCGGTGGCAGCCAGAGCGGGGTGTGGGAGGGGCCCGGGGACAGCTGGGGGTCGGTGTGGGCAGAACATTCGCCACCGGCATACTCAGCCCTGTCAGGTGTCAGGCCAGCGTTCTCCGCAGCCTTGAGCCCTGTCACCGGCTTCGTGGGGGACGTGCCGACGTAGGGGTCCCCGCTTTCCAATCTGCGTCGTCCTCACCGGGACGCGGCCGTCCAGGCCCAGGTGGGGAGGCGTCTGGTGGGGTTCCCGCACGCGTCGCAGCCCCAGGCCGTGAGATGGGACGTGTGTAAGGCGCAGTACGGACTTTCAGAGGCCGCCTGCGGAGTTCTGATCACCACGTGACCTCCGCACTCAAGCGGAAACGCGCTGGTGCGTTAGCGGTGTGGGTGACGGGGCTAAAGGTCATTCTGTTATTTCCGAGTCTTGTCCGCTGTGTGTGTTAGCTTTGTGATCAGGCTTTTTTCTTATTGAGGAAAAGCAGATGAGGACTGTGGGGCAGAGGACAGGCACAGCCAGGGCTGGGTGCAGCGGGTGGCGTGAGCGGGCGGCCGAGCCCGTTGAGTGCCGGTTCCCTGTGTGGCAGCCAGCGGGAGCGCTCGGCGCCCGCAGACCATTTCCCGACGTGGACAGTCGCCGCAGTGGCGAGTCAGCGTGTTCAGCGTGAAGCCCAGGTGGAGGGACGCTGCGGGTGTGCCTGGGGCGCAGTGTTAACGGGCGTCGCTCACAATCTTTATCAGGTCGCCCAGGGACTGGGCTTCTCTGGCGTCTGAGTCAGCGGGTGACGAGTCAGAACCGTTCGGGGAATTCGTTCGGGTGTAATGGGGCCGAGGACAGTGAAACGCGCCCCACTGAAAGTGCCCGTCCCGTGCACGTGACGGTCACGGCCGAGCCGCGGACGCCGCCCCCTCTGGCCTGCTTCTCTGGCTTCGGCCTAGGGCCTGGTACGGGGAGTGTTTAGTGTCCCTTAGGTGGCTTGGAAAACCTCTTTCTCAAAGGTCCCCCAGGAGACTGGTGGGGTCGGGAAGGCCCCAGGACTTAGCAGAGAAATCTGAGCCGCTCTTGGGCAGACCCGCCTCACCCGGGTCTGGAGTCAAGGGCGCTAGCGAATGCTCAGGGCCTTGGACTTGGGCCGGCCCCCGTGGTCTGTACGCTGGGTGCCTCTGCATAAACTCTGCCCCTCAGCCTCTGGAGCTGACCTACGGCCGTGGTGCTCAGGTCGCCGTGGCACTGGTGCTGCCTGGAGCTTTTCGGGAGAGCAGAGCGCGGGGCACACAGCGGGCGTGTGGGGTTGAGCTGCAGCTCCCAGGCACACGCGCGCATCAGCTTCCACGATTTCCGGGACGGGCGTAAACGTGGCACTCCTCGTGGGCTGCCGAACTTTGCTGGGAACCCAGGATGTCGGTAACCCATCTGCCCAGGCGTCCGTGACCCGTCAGAACGCCCGCCCCTCCTGCCCCTGACCGCACAGAATTCACAGCGTGGGTTTTGCTCGCTCTGGATGTGAGTTGGCTGCCAGTTGCCTTTCAACACCCTGCTGGAGAGGAGGTGGCATCGGTTCTGTGTGCGGTCGGGCAGGCGGGGTGCTCGCTCAAGGTGTGCGATTTTGTCCGCAGCCAAAACCCAGCCCAGTGTGACTTCTGCACCATTGGCCTCCCCTCCCCTGCCGTCCAGAACGCTGAAGGTCGTCCGCATGGCTGCAGCGATGCTGGCTGCCCAGACCTGTGCAGGCCGTGCCCGGTCCCTGGTGGTGGGGCTGAGGCACACCGTCCGCTGACACGGAACAGGGCCGTCCAGAGCCATGTCCCAGCCCCCGGCCACTGCTCCCGGCCGCTCCCCATTGTGTGCTCTGTGGAACCAGAGAACCGCCACCGGCAGCACTGCAGCCGCGGTCAGATACCAGCTCCTCCTGAGACGCCACCTCCCCCGCCCCTTCAGCCAGGCTGGAGACGGCAGGTGGCCTGGAGGCCGTCAGTGCGTGGGGAGGGTCTGCAGGCTCAGGCAGAGGCGGGCACTGACCTCGCCCTCACGATGTTCGCAGTCAGCGTCCGCCGCCCTGAGTCGCCCGAGCTCTTTGCTTGTGGCTGGTTGTGCTCTCAGACCCCACGTCCTGCCCTCGGGCCCCAGCGACTCACAGCCTGGGCGGCCGCCATCTGCAGTGTGTGTCTGTGGGTGCCACGCCCCCGGGCGGATCGGCTCCCCGCAGAGACAGCTGTTCCCTGCAACGCCTCACGAGGAGCCTGGAGCAAACCCGTTTTGCGTGACGTCGGTCTTGCTCTCACCCCGCAGATCCTCGCGCGTTTGGAGCAAGGCTTGGCGGAGGACGGCAGCGCGGGCACCATCACGCCAGAGAACAGGCAAGGTCGGTGGCCACTCGCGGAAGGGCCGTCCGGTTCTTCAGAGGTCCGGCGTCTCTCCCCGCCTCGTTCCCTCTCTCCTCAGTCCACACTGCGGCCCTGCTCTCGTGCACGCGCTCGCTCGCTCCTTGTCGGGGACCAAGCCCCGTGCTCGGTGCTGTCGACCTTGAAGAGCGAGACTAGACCTGAGGAGCTGGGCGGGTGGGGCCACCGCACTGGGTGCCGCCAGGACAATGAGCTTCCTCGGTGCGGTGGGCGCGGTGCAGGGGAGGGGTGGCCCTGGGTGGGCGCCCACTGCCCCCATTTCCTCATCCACATAGCACCTGTCCTGCTCCCTGTCCCCACCTCAGTCCAGGGGCTGGTCATCTCCCTCTGTGCACCCGACTCGGAGTGGGCTCTTAGTGACTGCTGGCCACATGGACTGCGCAGGCAAACCGAGGGGCCAGGGCAGGGGTGTGGCCTGAGGACAGAGCACCGGGGTGGACGCTGTGCGGGTTGCCCGGCGCACCCCCATGCCCGTGGCTGTGGGAAGTGGGGTGGGTGGCAGGGAGCAGCAGGGCCAGAGACGTTCGCCCTTGGTGGCCAGCAGCACGGGGCCGTATTCACGCCCTAGATGCAGCGTCCTTTAAGAAATCCCGGCGACTGCCGGCGTTGAAGGCGCGTCCTTCTCAGTGCGGTCACTGCAGGCGAGCTGACGAGGTAGAGGAGGCACAGCACCACTCACCCTGGCCGGACGCTCCCACACCTGTCCCTGTCACGGCTCCCACGGCCCGGGTCAGTGGGAACGAGCAGGCAGTCGCTAGGTCTCAGGTGGCTATTCCTGGAGGCCGGCCGGTCACCGGACACCAGGTAGACCGGCCTGCAGGGCAAGCAGGGAACAGCCGGGCAGAGCAGACCAGAGGCCGCCAGCGTCTCAGCTCCCCGAGACTCGTGACGCTCGGTCAGCAATCACGAAAAATGGAGCGCTAGCCGCTAACGTCTTTAATTGCTGAAAGCTGAAGAGCGAAGTTCCCGATCGCGACAGCTACGTTCTCTGTGTTCTTCCTGAGTGCTGCAAGAGCACGCGTCATCTCTAGGCGATCGTCATCTCAGAAGTGACCCCTGGTCCTGGCAGCGGAGGGCCAGTCCCTTCACTGAGCGGGCAGGTCAGATGCAGGCAGGTCCCCCAGCTCTCGCCATTCAGACACGTCCAGGACGTGCTCATCAGCTGGACGGAGCAGACCGCCATCGGACCCGACAAGGTCTCTCCACCTTCTGCCTCGCCGCTCTCCCCGGTCCCTTGGTGCTCGCGGGTCCTCGGGCTCCGCTTGAGGGGCAGACGGAGCAGAGGACTGAGGAGCGTGGGGCCGGGGTCAGGGTGGACATCCCTGTGTCCTCCCTGCACCTCAGTTCACTGATCGACGAAATACAAGGCTTAGAATCAGTTTGGTCTTCACAGCTGACCTTGCTTCTGTAATCCTAATGCCAAACAGATAGAGGTCAGCCACGGCGCACGCAGGAAGCCATGCGTCAGCCCTCCCCTCACCCCAGGGCAGCTCCCGGGGGACTTCCGGGCTGAGAATCAGTGGAGAGGTGGCCGATGACAGGTGGGGCCACAGGAGGACAGGGCAGGCCCACGGCCAGTCTGGACCAGTGCACAGATGCTGTGGGGGAGGCAGTGGGCTGTGGGGTCTGGAGATGCTCTGGGGGGACGGCACGCCCGCCGGGCACACGCTCCGCGGGAGGCAGCCTCGATTCTCCCTCACGCGAACGTGCTCGTGACCTCTGATCCCTGTGCCTCTTCCCGCTGACCTCCCTTCTCGTTTCCGTCCACACGGCTCAGGAGCTGAGGCCTGGAGCCGGTGAGCTCAGCGTGCGGGCCCGAGCGGGCTCTGGAGATGCTCTGGGGGGACGGCACGCCCGCCGGGCACACGCTCCGCGGGAGGCAGCCTCGATTCTCCCTCACGCGAACGTGCTCGTGACCTCTGATCCCTGTGCCTCTTCCCGCTGACCTCCCTTCTCGTTTCCGTCCACACGGCTCAGGAGCTGAGGCCTGGAGCCGGTGAGCTCAGCGTGCGGGCCCAGGGGGCAGGGGAGGCCTGTGGCCGGCGACACGTCCCCAGGGCCCCCACGCTCTCGGGGGCTGGTGCTGGGGACGCAGCCCTGGCTGACGGCGCGTGCTGGGCAGCACATGCGCACCCAGGGGGGCCTGGCTGTAGGGACAGAGCGACCTTGTAGGCAGCTCACGGGACTGACCAGGGCTGAGGGCGGGGGGCCTGACCGCGCTGCTCACCGCCACCCCTCTCCCCCAGCCTCCATCCAGCTGTGGCGGGCCCGCCTGGGCCGCGTGACCTGCTCCGTGGCAAACTGCCTGCTGCAGATGAAGGTGCGTGCGGCCTGGGAGGGTTCACGGGCACACGAGGGACCCCCGTGGAGGGTGGGTCGGCCCAAGGGAGCTCGCTGACCCGCTCAGGGGCTGTTGAGAGTTCAACAGAACGGGGACTTTTCATTGTCAAGTTTGGTTTTCATGGGTGGGTCTAGATGATTTAATTAAGATCATCGCTCATGCCCTTTCTCTCTGCAACTTCTCTCCATTTTTTGGTCTGAATTCCATCCCTGAAAGGCGTCCTGTGTTCTGTGCTCACGGACGGTGTTTTTCTTTGTCTGGATTTGATTTGACGATTGATGCTTATGACATCTGGGAACGGGCTTCCCCACAAGACCTGCTTCTCAGGACACCGCCCAGGGCTCGCCGCCCCTGAGGGCACAGCTCACCCACCGAGACGGGGCGGCTGAACCGGGGCGGCGGTCCCCCCTTTCCCAGCCTTTCCCCTCCCCAGCTCGGGCAGCAGTCTCGGCTTCTCCCTCGGCGGGAAACCCGCAGCCCCAGCTGGCTCTCCTCCGGCCCGGGGCGGGTGGCCTGCAGTGAGCTGGTGGCGGTCGGCAGCTGCAGGGGTCAGTCAGCCACAACCGGGAGCAGTGCTGTTGACCCCTCGGGGCTGGAGGAGGGAGCAGCTCACACAGCCCAAGGGCGTTCCCGAGCGGTGTTCATGGGGCGGGGCAGACAGCGCCCTGGGCGGGCGAGTGCACTTGCGGGGTCCCCTGTTTCGGGGCGGCTGGGTGTTGCGCTGCACACACTGGCCCCCGGGGAGGGTTTGGTGCAGGTGTGAATTCAGAGCCACAGCGGCTCGTCCATTAGGCCAGCAGGTGTGGCCGGAACCTGCGTGGAGCGGCCAGCACTGAGCATCGTGCACTCCGTCCTGGCGGCCCCTGCCTTCTGTGCACCCTGTAGTGTATGACACTGGGGTACAGCGTGACCTTGCCGTGCCCTCCACATTCCTGAGTGGGCAGGACAGAGGTGGTTCTGTCCCCTCTGCCCCTCCAAACAAGCCATTCCTCCACTGCTGATCAGTCATAGCCAGCTCTGAAACCCGCTGTCCAGCCCGGGGCCACTGTCACCTTTGCCTGAAATCCACGGGCTCACACAGAGCAACAAGAACAGAGTGAGTTCACAGGGCTGACGTGTCATCGGCCCTGGGGCCGAGACGCTTCTGGAGGGACGCTGTCTGTTCCCTGTTCCACTGCCGGGTTTTGTCTGCACTTTAAGACACGTTAACAGAAACTCGTGGGACGACGAAGCTTTTTCACTGAGCCACCGCCAGGCAGCAGACGCGCATCTTCTCCGTGTCGCTGGGACTCAGGACAGAGCGTAGCGTTGTGTTTGAAAAACACTTCGACGGCGAGTGTGATTTAATGTGAAACTTTAGATTAGTCTTTCATTTTCATCAGGTGAAAAGAAAAATTTTGCAGTCAAGGCGACCACAGGCATGAGCTTCGTGTTGCCACCTGGCTGGCTTTGCGGCAGCGCGGCCGATACACGAGGCGCCACGATAATCAAATCGTGTGCGGACTGGCAACGGGATGTTTAATCAGCCATTTAATTACTCCGAGTAACATTTCCGTGACAGTGAAATCCATGTTCATTTAAGTTTTTGATGACAAGAAACCCGTTCCTAGGCCGCAGCCCCGAATTTGCGCGCGGCACACTGGGGGGCAGGGCCACGCGCGGACCCAGCCCGGGAGTCACTCCACGGCCACCGTGTGAACGCCGCCTTCTCGCCTTCCACTCTCCAGACAGCAGCCCAGGGCCCCGCGCTGGCAGCCACTCAGCTGCGTGCGCTCCGGCCTCCCGTGGGCCCCGAGCGTCCCACATGCCCCCGCCCTGCCCCTCACGTCAGCTCAGGGACCGTGCAATGGCTGTTTACCTAATTTCACAGCCACCAAACAGGTGGAGCTGCTGACGAAAGGGCGGAGACCGGCTGAAGCAGGGTTGTCCTGCAGGCAGGCCGCCCCTGCCCTGCGTCCGAGCCAGACCCCCGTGACTGCAGAGGTCACAGGCGCCCTCTGCGGAGCCCACTGGCCACTGTGCCTGAGCGCGGCCGTGTTCCCCGCAGCTGCAGTAAAGAAGCCGCTTCAGGAAGGACACCGTCCGGGGACACGGTCAGCACAGTCCGGCTCGGTTCCCAGGCCAGGGTCCGCCCCAGGGCTGCGTGTCCCCACAGCCCTGCCCCGCCTCCTGTCTGACGTCCGGCCTGGAGTGTGCGGCTGCCCGGAGCAGCTGCCCGGGAGGGCTGTGTGTTAACATCCACATGCGAGAAGTCCCCCCCGGGACCACTGCTCAGTGTTTCAAAACTGTCCCTTCTGGATCCAGTTATCTTTGAAAACATTGACTCTTGGCCTTGACTCTGAAACAAAGATAAGGCAGCAACACTGCCGGGAAAGCCGTCCTGGAACGGACGCTGCGGTGGCCTCGCTGGCCAGGAGCGGCCACGTCACCACCCTCCACACCCCTCTGTGGCTCTGTGCGGCCCCGATCTGCAGCGTGTTCACGGGCGTGGCCCAATCACACAAGAATGTCAGAACTGCCCTTCCTCACCCCTGAAGCAACAGTAAGGGGCGTGCTGAATTACGGCGGGGGGTTCCCAGTGTGGCAGATGCTCCGAGGGGCCCCCTGCGCCCCCAGAAACACAGAGGGGCTGGAGCCCGGACCCAGCCAGGCCTCAGCTTCCCCGGGTCCCCTGACCAGCCACCGAGCAGCGGGGTCACTGCCTCCTCCCTGAGAGACGTCTCAGCGCGTGCTCACGCTCATGCACACACACGTGTGCACGCTGACGGCTCCGGCTACAGCACGGCCCCGCCACGGGCGGCAGTGACGGTAGCCCACGGGGGCACAGGACAGGTGCTGCCAACCCTCGTGGCCTGTGTCTCGGGTGAAACTCACCGTGATGAGCTGCACTCGAGGGTGCCAGACTCCCCCGTCCTGCTGACCGGGAGTTTTCCCTGTCGTCTGTCTTGGCAGCATCCCGGTTAGCAAAGCGGCCCCTCTGGCTCCAGTTTGGACGAGCTTGAGAACATAGGAGGAAAAAGAAAGGAAAGCATGTTCTGGGGTTTTGGGGAGACTAGGTTAGGGAAAGGTGCCCCTGCAGACTCGGCCGTGCCCGCGGCCCACGTGACACCGGTGGGCGACGTCCCCTCTCTCCGCAGGACTACGTGCTGGCCGTGGACGCGTACCTCTCCGTCATCCAGTACTTCCCTCAGCAGGAGCCCCAGCTGCTCAGCGGCATCGGCCGCGTCTTCCTTCAGGTGGGTGGTGCCCGGGCACGTGAGCCATGGGGGACCCCAGGGTGGTCGCTGCCGACCCACAGTGACGTCGGGGCCGCCGAGGTGGCGGAGACTCTGCCCCAGAGGAGAAACAGTTGAGGGAACGGAGAGCGTCGGCTCTTGTGGCCCGAACACGCGCCCAGGCCAGCGGAGCGGCAGTGAGCAGCCAGGGCCCCGTGCCTCAGGGACCGTCCCCGCTGTCGTGGCGCACGTGTGCAGTTCCTGCCACGGACCAATCACCCCGAAGGAGGCGCCTGTCCCATCTGCATTCGCAGTGACGGGGACGTTGGTCTCTGGGCTGTGTGAGCGCGTGAGCATCTTGTCAGGCGTTTGGCGCTGGTTGCGTGAGAGTCAGGAGCTTTCCTGCTTTCTCTGTTCTCCGCAGCGTCAGGCGTTTGGCGCTGGTTGTCTGCGTGAAAGTCAGGAGCTTTCCTGCTTTCTCTGTTCTCCGCAGAATTCGGGGTGTTTGGGGAGGTTTGCGTCCCTCACTGAGGAGACGCCAAGCTAGCGTCCGGCGTCTCCGTGACTCACTGTCAGGGACCTGGCGTGGGGCGTGCTCCGTGCCGCGAGCTTTTCTGTTTCCGGGGACCGTTTTAGAGTGTCCTAGAAATCACCTGTTTGCTCTGTGTTTTCACGTGTATTTGCGTAGAGTTCAGTAAAGCACAGTTGTCTTTCATAATCTTCAATTTCGTTCCTACCTGCAGTTCTTTCTCCTTTTACGTTTATAATCTGGTTCATCTTTGCTTTTTCTCCATTAGTCCATTCACTTTTTATCTTTTTGCCTCAGATAACTAGCTGGGGTTTATTTATCTGTTTGCTTACTAGATATTCTGCAATACTTTAAATTGCCTTTTCATATTTAAATGTTTAAGCTGCCTATGACTCTTAGAAAATCAGTCAGGTTTTAAATCCTAATTACATTCTAATAATTATGAAGATGTAAACCTACTTTCTGATCACCAGAAAAATCAGTAGGGGGCAAAGAATCGTCCAAGCTTTCCCTGGCACCTTCCCTAAGACAGGCCCAGGGCCAGTCCTGCCTGGCTGCCCGAGGCCAGCGCGTGGCCTGGGGCCGTGCGGGCAGGCCGGGAGCCCAGCCTGCGGGTCTGTGGCGTGCGGGCCGGGCCGGGTGCCGCCCTCCGAGCCTCCCTCCCAGATAGCGACGGCAACGGCATAGTGCCACCTCACGGGCTGCAGTCAGAGGTACAGGTCCGGGGGCGAAGCCCTTGTCAGTCCCCGGCGCGCGCCCAGGGCTCAGCACGCCTGTCCTTCGCGGTGGCGCCGCTGAGTGTGCTGGCAGCAAACAGCAGCGCCTGTTAGGGAGTTTCAGCTAAAGCGAACCTGCTGCGGGAAATGGGGGACCTCCCGCAGGGGAGTCCGCGAGGGAGGGGAGCCCCGCGCAGACACCTCTCTCCTCAGGGCTCCTCCTGTATGTTCACTGTGTGCCGGGTGCCGTCGGCTGCCGGGAGGGGGTCTGCCCTCCTTGCACCCCATGACGTTAGCTACCGTTTCACGGACGCTGGCTTAAGACACGAGACTCCAGGGCCATTTGTTACTCCAGCAATCTCAGTATACCCAGGGCGTCACTTGTCACCAAACACCGAGCCCAGTTCCCTCGGGGCCGTGCCGGGGGCAGGTGATGGCTGCAGTGGCTTCACTGCTGGACAGAAGTCCACCCTCAGGGATGCAGGCCGTGGCTGCTGGGCCAGCAGCACGCCTGCCCTGACGCCGGAGGAGAGGCCAGCTTCCCCGGCAGGGCGCTGGGGAACTGGGGGACCGCAGCGGGGCCTGCAGGAGCGGGAGGCCAGCTCCCTACGCCTCCTGCCCGGCTCCAGTGGGATCACGCGGGATGAAGGACAGGGTTTCGCAGGGTCCCTGCTGCCTCCGTGACGTGTCACTACTCAGAGTTTCCCTGTACGCAGCCCGGGACACAGGCCTGTGTCTCACCGACCCCTTTTGTGCAAGTTTTTGTCGTAAGAGTATTTTTCTTTTTTTCCACGTCTCATAAGCCTTAGGCCGTTGACTCCCATCCTTACACTTGAAGCCCAAAGGCCTGAATCCCCCTCCACAAAACGCCGCCGTGGTTCTCCCGGCGATGGTGACGCGGGCACACGCCAGCCGTCGGCACCAGCCGGCCTGGGCCCCCGGGTGGGGAGCTGGGCTCTCCGTGCGTGCGACGAACGCGGGCTCGGTTTTGCTTTGTTTTTCTTTTCCGTAGAATTCCGTATTATTCAATCAAAATGAGACTATGACATTTTTAAGCTTGATGGTCTCTCATTTTACTGATTTGCGGTCTGCCACGTTACACCAACGTGTAAATGTTACATTTTTTTGGTCGTTCATTTTGTTTTTATCTACTTAACGCTGTGCAGCCTTGCCAGGATTCCTTCTAAAAACGACGACTTTTTAGCAAGGCACGGGTATTCACAGGTTCGTTTCTGGTGTGGGGATGGCAGCATCCGCGATATCTTGTGTTTTGCTTCCTGTTCAGGCAGTAATAATTAGTAAGTGGTCACCAGAGTCCTCCCCTGCCTGCCACGTAAACGTCTCCACACCCTAACGTGACTCTAGGGAACTGTGTGGAGGTAGATCTGTCACCTGAACTGACTCAGTAATTTTGTCAAAACAGATCGGTGACATTAAGACAGCAGAAAAATATTTTCAAGAAATTGTGTTTTGCTTCCTGTTAAGGCAATAATAATTAGTAAGTGGTCACCAGAGTCCTCCCCTGCCTGCCACGTAAACGTCTCCACACCCTAACGTGACTCTAGGGAACTGTGTGGAGGTAGATCTGTCACCTGAACTGACTCAGTAATTTTGTCAAAACAGATCGGTGACATTAAGACAGCAGAAAAATATTTTCAAGACGTGGAGAAAGTAACACAGAAGTTGGACGGACTGCAGGGGAAAATAATGGTTTTAATGAACAGGTGCGTACTGTGCGCGCGTGTGGACGCGCCTCTGATGGCGCTCAGCAGCGGGCGGTGCGGCCGCGGCCGCACCCGTGTCC